AACATCATGTATCCAACCATCACGTATCCCAACCATCACGTATCCAACACAACACGTATCTAACACATCATGTAACCAACACATCAAATATCCAACCATCACATATCCAACCATCACATATCCAACACATCATGTATCCCAACCATCATGTATCCAACCATCACGTATCCCAACCATCACGTATCCAACACATCATGTATCCCAACCATCAAATATCCAACCATCATGTAACCAACACATCACGTATCCAACATTATGTATCCAACACATCATGTATCCCAACACATCACGTATCCAACCATCACGTATCCAACCATCACGTATCCAACCATCATGTAACCAACACATCACGTATCCAACATCATGTATCCAACACATCACGTATCCAACCATCACGTATCCAACCATCACGTATCCAACACATCACGTATCCCAACACATCACGTATCCCAACACATCACGTATCACACCATCACGTATCCCACAATCATGTATCCCACCACATTACGTATCCTCCACATCATGTATCCCACAATCATGTATCCCACCCATCACGTATCCCAACACATCAAGTATCCCAACCATCACGTATCCAACCATCACGTATCCAACCATCACATATCCCAACCATCATGTATTCCATCTAGTATCCCAACCATCACGTATCCCAACACACCACGTATCCCAACCATCACGTATCCAACCATCACGTATCCAACCCTCCCGTATCACAACCATCACGTATCCCAACACATCACGTATCCCATCCATCACGTATCCAACCATCATGTATCCCAACCATCACATATCCCAACACATCACGTATCCCACAGTCATGTATTCCACATCACGTATCACACCATCACATATCCCACAATCATGTATCCATCCCATCACGTATCCCAACACATTACGTATCCCACCCATCACCTATCCTCCACATGATGAATCCCACAATCATGTATCCCAACCATCACATATCCCAACCATCACCTATCCCAACCATCACCTAACCCACAATCATGTATTCCACACCATGTATCCCACATCACATAGCCCAACACATCATGTATCCCACAATCATGTATGCCACATCACATAGCCCAACACATCATGTATCCCAGAATCATGTATTCCACATCACATAGCCCAACACATCATGTATCCCACAATCATGTATCCCACATCACATAGCCCAACACATCATGAATCCCAACCATCACATATCCAACACATCACCTATCCCACAATCATTTATTCCACATCACATAGCCCATTACATCATGTATCCCACAATCATGTATTCCACATCACATAGCCCAACACATTACGTATCCCACCCATCACCTATCCTCCACATCACATATCCCACAATCATGTATCCCAACCATCACCTATCCCAACCATCACACATCCCACCATCATGTATTCCACATCACATATCCCAACACATCAAGTATCCCACATCACCTATCCAACCCATGACGTATCCAAACATCACGTATCCCAACCATCACATATCCAACCATCACATATCCAACACATCACGTATCCAACCATCACGTATCCAACCATCACGTATCCAACCATCATGTAACCAACACATCACGTATCCAACATCATGTATCCAACACATCACGTATCCAACACATCATGTATCCCAACCATCAAATATCCAACCATCACGTATCCAACCATCATGTAACCAACACATCACGTATCCAACATCATGTATCCAACCATCACATATCCCAACCATCACGTATCCAACACAACATGTATCTAACACATCATGTAACCAACACATCAAATATCCAACCATCACCATCATGTAACCGACACATCAGGTATCCAACATCATGAATCCAACACATCATGTATCCCAACACATCACGTATCCCAACACATCACGTATCCAACCATCATGTAACCAACACATCACGTATGTATCCAACACAACATGTATCTAACCCATCATGTAACCAACACATCAAATATCGAACCATCACATATCCAACCATCACATATCCAACCATCACATACCCAACACATCATGTATCCCACAATCATGTATCCCACCCATCAAATATCCAACCATCACGTATCCAACACATCATGTAACCAACACATCATGTATCCCAACCATCAAATATCCAACCATCACCATCATGTAACCGACACATCATGTATCCAACATCATGTATCCAACACATCATGTATCCCACAAGCATGTATTCCACATCACATAGCCCATTACATCGTGTATCCCAACCATCACCCTGATGGTTGGGATACATCATGTATCCAACCATCACATATCCCCACATCATGTATCCCACAATCATGTATTCCACATCACGTATACCACCATCATGTATCCCCCAATGATGTTTACCACATCACATATCCCACCATCACCCATCCCACCCATCACGTATCCCAACACATCACGTATCCCACAGTCATGTATTCCACATCACGTATCACACCATCATGTATCCCAACACATCACGTATCCCAACACATCAAGTATCCCACCCATCACCAATACAACCATCATATATCCCACCATCACCTATCCCACCCATCACGGATCCCAACACATCAAGTATCCCACCCATCGCCCATACAACCATCATATATCCCACCATCACCTATCCAACCCATCACATATCCCAACCATCACCTATCCCAACCATCACATATCCAACACATCATGTATCCCACCCATCACGTATCCCAACACATCAAGTATCCCACCCATCACCCATACACCCATCATATATCCCACCATCACCTATCCGACCCAGCACGTATCCCAACACATCAAGTATCCCACCCATCACCCATACAACCATCATATATCCCACCATCACCTATCCAACCCATCACATATCCCAACCATCATGTATCCCAACCATCACGAATCCAACCATCAGGTATCCAAACCATCAAATATCCAACCATCACGTATCCAACCATCATGTAACCAACACATCACGTATCCAACATCATGTATCCAACCATCACGTATCCCAACCATCACGTATCCAACACAACACGTATCTAACACATCATGTTACCAACACATCACGTATCCAACATCATGTATCCCAACCATCAAATATCCAACCATCACATATCCAACCATCACGTATCCAACCATCATGTAACTTACACATCACGTATCCAACATCATGTATCCAACCATCACGTATCCCAACCATCACGTATCCAACACATCACATATCCAACACATCATGTATCCAACCATCACGTATCCCAACCATCACGTATCCAACACAACACGTATCTAACACATCATGTAACCAACACATCAAATATCCAACCATCACATATCCAACCATCACATATCCAACACATCATGTATCCCAACCATCATGTATCCAACCATCACGTATCCCAACCATCACGTATCCAACACATCACNAGGTCACATTAACTAGGTCATATACACTTTCAAAAGGTCACATTAACT